GGCACTGCGCCCTCGGCACCCCCCCGGCCAAAAGCAGCAGTTCGTTCTCAGAGAAGGTGCTGGCGCTGTCATGCAGCAATAGCTTCATATGTTCTTAGTGGGGTTTTTGTATTTGTGATGTTTGTGAGTTTATGTCGTGTGAGTAATAATCCTCTGCGTGGCGCTGAGATAGTCTCTGTGAGACGCGGCCCAGCTGCAGCTGCGCAGTGCGGAGTTCTCTGACCCGCCAGGGAAGTGGCGGGGGAGGAATGACAGGGTCCTAGTGCCCGCCTGCTGGGTCATCAGTGCTGCGGTTTGTTTGGGCTCAGGGTTTTAAGTGTCTCAGGTGAAATATCTCCTCTAGCAGGAGGCAGTCATTCTGTGTTAATTGTTGTCTTGAATTTAGTTTCATACTCTGCAGGGAGAGTGCATCTCTGTACCATCTGCCTGACAGAAATATTGTCAAAAGATCATCTACAATCTTACAGGAGTTGTTCACTTTACCAGGGGTTCTAGATGCTGATTATGAAGGGAAAACAATTGTGGCCTGGACCCTTGTACCCCCATGTTCAGTAACAAAAAGGTCAAAAAATTGCCCAGCTTGCTTCTTTTCCTGTGGCTCCCCCTAACAGTATGCCGAGAAGCTGTGATGACTCAGGATTTGGATCAGCAGGCACCCCTTAAATATTTTGGGCTCAGACAGTGACACAAGGTTGACTTCGGGTAAAATGTACTCTCACTGAAGCTAAAAAATCTGTTGAGCTGACAGGCATCTTAGATACTTCTGTGGATGTGATCGTAATATCCATGAGCAGATTGACTATTAGCTTGGGTAACTCAAATGCTTTTCAGGGGTTAGTGGTCATGCTGTAGCAATTCAAAGCAAAAATCTCACTCATGTAAAGGGCCCAGAAAACTGTGTAGCAAATATTCATCCATTTATCCTGGAGACCCCTATTACACTATGGGGTCGTGACTGTATGGCTCAGTGGGCAACTCAAATTGGATCAAATTTGTCTTAATCACCACTGCAGTACAACCCACCATGAAACTAATTTGGAAAACAGAACCACCTGTGTGGCTGGGTCAGTGGCCCTTGCCAAGGAAAAAGTCGTGCCACCTTAATGATTTAATTCAGGGACAATTAAGTTTGTATTTTAAAGACAAGTAGTAAATAGTGTCTTTTACATCATCTCCAACACATTAATGATACCATGGAAGATAAAAATACTTTACAACCATAAATGCCCTCCCCAACAATGATTACCTGAAACTGGCATCTTGTAGTAATTGATCTAAAGGATTGATTTTTTTACCATTCCCTTGCATCCCAATGATGCACCTAAATTTACCTTTTCTATTCCCACTCTTAATGTTAGTGAACCTGCAAAACAAACTGGGTCCCGCAGCAGATCGGAAGTGGCCGTTATTAAGACCTCATTGGAATAATCAAGACCCAGGCCACCAAACCCACATGGCAGACTTAAGAACAATTATAATTCAAGGAATTAAGGAGTCAGTTCCCCGAGGGCAGAATATTAATAGAGCTTTTAGTGAACAACAGAAGAAAGATGAAACACCCACTGAATGGCTTGAAAGATTGAGAAAAAGCTTACAGTTATACTCAGGAGTAGATCCTGGCACCTCTGTGGGGCAGGCATTATTAAACTCAGTTTGTGGCTAAGTCGTGGGTAGATATTAGGAAGAAGGTAGAAAAGATCGAGGATTGGCAGGAGAGAGGAATGGATGGATTGCTGAGAGAAACTCAGAAAGTTTATGTTAGAAGAGAGGAGGAAAACCAGAGAAAACAAATATGAGAGCAAATGAGGGTATTGGCAATGGCCGTGAGAGAGGAACAGAGAGGAGCTTTAGCAGCGATGGGAAGGCCTGTCAGAGAACAAAAGGATAGACGCTCTGGAAAGGAGGCAGTCATCCCTCCGACTTGGTGCATAAAAATATGAGGGAAGTGGAATGTTTATATTGCAAAAGGAAAGGGCATGTGAAGAAGGTTTGCCGAAAGAGAATCCAAGACAAGAAACTGTTCTCTGAAGATGTGGGGTCAGGGGCTCTGTGTGCTGGGGACCCCAAAGAACAAGGAGCCCTTGATAAAACTTAAAGTGGGTCCTCAGCGACAAGAGGTAGAGTTCCTTGTGGACTCAGGATCCGAAAGATCTACCATCCAGGCTTTACCTCCAGGTTGTAAGGTATCATCAGAAAAAGTTAATGTAATAGGGGCTAAAGGTGAACCGTTTTAAGTTCTGGTTCTTCATAATATAATTATTGAATCAATATGTAAATATGTGATTGGAACATTTTTATTAGTCCCAGAAGTAGATTATCATTTTATTGGACGTGATCTGATTATAGAATTAGGAATTAATTCGGAAGTGGAAGAAAAACAACTTGAAGTCAGATTGTACCCCCTTACAGTTGTGGATGAAGAAGAGATTAACCCAGAAGTATGGTATACCCCAGAGACAGTGGGTAGATTGGATATTACCCCCTTTGAAGTAACTATTAGGAACCCAGAGATCCCGACCAGAATCAAACAGTATCCTTTGCTGCAAGAAGGCAGGATAGGCTTAAAGCCTGAAATAGAAAGACTCCTTAGTAAGGGGCTATTGGAACCTTGTATGTCGCCTTTTAATACTCCAATATTGCCCGTTAAGAAAGCAGATGGGAGTTACAGATTAGTGCATGATTTAAGGGAATTCAGCAAAAGAACTGTAACCAGATTTCCTGCGATAGCAAACCCCCATACTTTGCTTAGTCAATTGAACCCTGAAACTCAGTGGTATAGTGTAATAGAGCTCAAAGATGCTTTTTGGGCATGTCCTTTAAAAGAGGAATGTAGGAATTATTTTGCTTTTGAATGGGAAGATCCAGATACCTTTAGAAAACAACAGTTGAGGTGGACAGTTTTGCCACAGGGTTTTACTGAGTCTCCTAACCTCTTTGGACAAGCCCTCAAACAAATTTTAAGGGATTATGATTTGGGGGAAGGTGTTACTTTAGTACAGTATGTAGATGACCTTCTGTTAGCAGGCAGCAACCCAGAGACATTGAGAAGGGAAAGCATTAAGTTGTTAAATTTCTTACGCCTTCAAGGATTAAAAGTATCTAAACCTAAATTACAATTTGTAGAAGAGGAAGTGAAGTATTTGGGCCACTGGATAAGTAAAGGGAGCAAGAGACTAGATCCAGAGAGGGTAAATGGAATTCTTTCCCTCCAAGCTCCCAGAAACAAACAGCAGGTTAGGCAACTCCTTGGATTACTGGGATACTGTGGACAATGGATTGAAAATTATAGTGCAAAAGTTGAATTTTTATACCAGAAATTAACGAAAGACAGATTACTTAAATGGACCTCAGATGATGAGGAAAAATTGGAAAAGATAAAAACTGACTTAGTCAATGCTCCAGTATTAAGTTTATCAGATATAAGAAGGCCCTTTTATCTATTTGTCAATACTGAAGACGGCACAGCATTTGGGGTATGAACGCAAGCATGTGCCGGAAAAATAGAAGCCTGTGGGATACATATCTAAACTGCTAGACCCTGTAAGTAGGGGATGGTCAACATGCCTTCAAGCAATAGTGGCAGTGGCCTTGTTAGTAGAAGAGGCTAATAAAATCACATTTGGGGGAGATCTGAAAGTGTTAACCCCCCATAACATCAGAGGAGTGCTTCAACAGAAAGCGGATAAATGGATAACAGATGCAAGACTCCTCAAGTATGAAAAAATATTAATGCACTCACCAAAGTTAGAGATTGAAGTAACTAGCCTTCAAAATCCAGCACAATTCCTATATGGGGAACCAAGTGAAAGTTTAAACCATAATTGCCTCCATACCATTGAGGAACAGACAAAAATCAGGCCAGAAGATTAATAAGCACCAATTAAGAGAAAGGGTTCAAGGTGGAAGGGACTTAGCTTACAGACCATTCGCAAGAATTCAAATTGATTTTATGGAACTACCAAAAGTAGGACGGTACAGATACCTCCTAGTATTGGTTGATCATCTCACACATTATGTAGAAGCCTTTCCCACCGCTTGAGCAACAGCAAACACGGTGGTAAAAATACTCAGAAAACATCATCCCTAGGTATGGAAATATAGAAGTAGTCGATTCCGACAGAGGCCCCCATTTTGTATGTAAAGTAGTTAAAGAGACATTAACTTCCCTAGGGACCAGATGGGAATTTCACACTCCCTGGCATCCACAAAGCTCAAGGAAAGTAGAAAGAATGAATGGGGAAGTCAAGAAACAACTTACCAAATTAATGTTCGAAACAAAAATGTCTTGGGTTAAGTGCTTAACCCTAGTTTTTCTGAATATCTGAACCCAACCTGGAACCAATACTGGCGTATCCCCATTCGAAATGCTATATGGTATGTCCTATGATATGGAACTTCCCACTGATCACCCAATACTGGAAAAAGACAATTTACAACTATATCTAATAAGTCTCATGAAGAGAAGAATTACGTAAAAAGGGGATGGCAGTACAAAGACCGCCATTGGAGATTTTTATTCACTCTATAAGACCTGGAGACAAGGTGTTAATAAAAACTTGGAAAGAATCTTCTCTTACCCCTCGTTGGGAGTGACCGTTTCTTGTTTTGCTCACAACAGAGACTGCTGTCCGGACTGCTGAAAAAGGATGGACTCATGCTACCAGAGTAAGAGGACCCTTAACACCTGATTGCTGGGAAGTAGCTAAAACATCAGGAGATCTGAAGCTAGTGCTGCGAAGAAAGAAGGACTAACTGAGTAATGTAATATTTTGTAAACCCCCTAACTGTATTTGTTATCTTTGTATGTTTTAAATGCACCATTTGTGAGGAGAATTGGTGGGCGCACTGTGTCTATGGTTATTTCCCAAAAGGAATACTGTGACCAGTGCCATATAAGGGAAAGAAAATTAATTAGTTAAGCCTTACTAGTGGGGGTATCAATGGGAAAAATTATAAATTCTTTGCAGGTCCCAAAATACTCCAAGTGCCTTGCACAATCCCACAGGTAAAAGCCCGGAACTGGGAGGCATTTAGGTGTCGACAGTGAGACCCTAACCTCAAAGAATACAACTGCTGCTGAGAAGATGGAAAGCCCCACTGCTCTAAGGAGTGGAGTAGGTGGAGGAGGCAGAGCCGTATGGAGAGGGGAAAATAAGAAAGGCCTCAAAGCAACCAGGCCAGGTAATTATGGTGGCAAGGGAAACTGGAAAGTATGGAGAAGGAGAAGATCTGGGCATGTAAATCCTGTCGCAAGACAGAGAGGGGACACGTTTATGCAATTGGCTAGTAATTGGAAAATGAACCCACCAATTTTCCTCACTATAATAATTATTTGGGCTGTGGGAGGAATCATAACCCCAACCCATACACAGACCTTAACCCACCAACCATTTAAATGGACCCTTATTAGATAGAATGATCAAAAAGTGCTTCAGTCTGTAATTACTGAAGGAGCCCCCAGTTTTGAACAGCATGTTTGTTCAATTTTACCATTTCCTGGCTGTTCTCTACCTAAAAGATCCCCAGCATGGGACGTCAAACAATACTACTTCTGTCCCAGTTCCAATCCTGGAAAAAGTTATTGTAATCTGCCTGGCTATAACCATTGTGCATATTGGGGCTGTGAAACAGTAGCATCAGACTGGACTCCAAAACCCCCAGATAAATTTCTGCAAGTCACTTGTGGTCCTAAGGGATGTAAAGCCCCAGCTAGAAATTGGGCTGGAGGAGTCATCAATTATGGAACTTGTAAGAGCATAATTTTAACTGTGCTTAGTCCTCAAGATTTAGTATGGATGATACGAAAAACCTGGGGAATAATGTTGTGGGAAGAAGGAAAAGACAGAGGACTACTGATTTTTAGTAAAAAGGAAATAGCACCCCCTGACGTGCAACCAATAGGTCCAAATCCAATAATTATGAACAAAGAACCGCTGTCGGAAAGGTCAGTGGATACTACCTCAATTATTGGTGGCACATGGTACTGATTTTTATTAAAAAGGAAATAGCACCCCCTGACGTGCAACCAATAGGTCCAAATCCAATAATTATGAATAAAAAACCGCTGTCGGAAAGGTCAGTGGATACTACCTCAATTATTGGTGGCACGGGGTACTGATTTTTATTAAAAAGGAAATAGCACCCCCCCGACGTGTAACCAATAGGTCCAAATCCTATAATTATGAACAAAAAACCGCTGTCGGAAAGGTCAGTGGATACTACCTCAATTATTGGTGGCACTGGGGGAGAACCAAGAAGAAATCGAGGCAGCTACAATTCCTCTGTGGAAAGTATTAATGGCAAGTTATCTCTTAAACGAAGTTTGTGATGTGTTAAGGAGATTTGAAGAACAAAATTAGTTAAAAAGGGGGGAATTGTAATAAAACATATATAGTATTTGTTATTCAAATCTCAAGTTATGGTTAAATATATTATTCAGTAAATTAAATATAAAAAGAGATTGTGTTAATGTCAGATTGTATTGTAACTGAACTTTGTTGTGGTCAGACAGTGTTATGGTTCTAAATGTTTTTGCTCTTTACATGTAACCTAAGGTTTAAAAAGAGATAAGGCATTATGTATATAGTTTTTTATGGTTAAAATCAGTTGTTAAAAGGGAGTTAAAATGGCTATGTCCAGACATGTCCGGACCATGGATACATGCCCACCTGTGCTGAGTCATCCCCCTCCTCCCCCACGGTGGAAAGTCAGCGAACCTTCCCTGGCAACAAAAAGCCTCCCGAAAGAAAAGTCTGCCGAAAAGTTGTTTATGACTTCGCAAACCCCTCCGGGAGCACCCCCACCCTCATGAATATTCATGACGGCTGCACGTTAAAAGGACTCCGTTTCGGGATGTAAGGTGTGTGTCTTGGTGGAGCAAAGACTCCCCGGCACAGCCAGCGCTGTTTTGCTCACTTTCGCTTGCTAATAAATTTTACTGACCACTAAAACAAATTTGAAGATTTCATTCTCAATTGCGACTAATCCATAATAAGGAGTATACGTCACATCACAGGTGTACTGCATTCGCCTATGGGACAAGCCATTGTAGACAGAGTGCACCAAACCTTCAATGCGCTTTTGCAAAAACAAAAAGGGGGAGATCTTTGCTACAGGGCAGCCACATGCTCTGCTGTTTCAGTGGGATGTAAACGCCTAGTGAACCTCTTGTTATTGTTGAATGGACTTTTTTTTGTCACACCATCTGCACAACACAGGACAAAATACACTATGGTTGCCAACTCTTAAAAGAGAAAATGCTAACAGTAATTACAACTCCTTAATGAAATATATCAGCTTACTAGCCAATAGTGAAAGATGTAACTTACACAGAATGTAGTTATTAATGAGGATGAAATGCTGTAAGAATGTGTGTTCAACTTTGTTTAGCAATATTAAGAATTAAGAACTAGTATTCTTAAGTGTTTAACCTTATTAGAAACTCCCTTGGTTTTCCCCCTGGAGTGCTGGCCAGGCTCTGGGTGGAACCCAACAGGATGATGAAATCAGATGTTCCCGCTCAGAGAAAAGTGACAGTTATTCTGGGCTGTTGATCCAGAGGCTGGACCTGCTTGCAGTGATTTTGGATGCCTCACTTATGGATGGACGCATTGCACAGTATTTCTGGTTTATGAGCAAGGGCACTCTAAATTCTTGCTGCATCCAGGGTTCCCTAGCGATTGCGGATCTGAATGTTAGTACCCCATTAAGTAAGTGTGCTACTCCATGTTTACCTTACTGTTTATTTTTGTAGTATTTAGCCATATCCCTTTCTTATGGGTAGTGAAATTAGCCTACTCTTTTTAACTAGTAATTGTAACTGCTGTATTGTTTTTAGCCTCCTGTGGAACTATTCTAAGTATTCTAAGTTTTTTGAAGTTTGTCTAACCTTTAATTGATACAGCTCTCAAACAAGTCTTGCAGGTGCTGCTGCAAAACAAAGGGGAGATCTGAGAGGCATCGGTCTTACACAGCCTCTTACAAAGAGCTAAGCTTCGATGAAGAACAGGCCTTGTAAGATAGATAAGAAACTGCTGAGTTGTGCCAAGTTGTCAGGGAAAAATCAATCAGGACAGCAGGCATTTTGCCTAGGCTTAGCAACTGCTGCTGATCCATCTCAGACCTGTTTAATTGGAGTTAGAGCTGAGAGGCTCTCCTCCCCCGGTAGCTGGGATTAGCATGCAAGATCAGGCCTGGGGATGTATATAGTTTGGTGGACAAAAAGCTGGTCTAACTAGCCATCATGGTTGGTATAATCAGACAGTCTGGCTGGAATGGCAAAACGTGACCCCGTCAGCAGTACCGGTAAATGACATTTGGTTTTGTAGTGACGCTTCTACGATGGGTTTACACCTTAAAGAAGGAATAATATTTAATAATGATTTGGCTAAAAGGTTACCCATTACTGGATGGTTAAAAGATTTGTTTTTACATGGAATAACAGTTTAAATTGTCATTTTAATCCTTTTAATGATGTTAAAGTGTGTGTGGAAGTGTTTTGAGAATGATGGACTGAGCAATAAAAGGGATCTGGATTGCTCAAAAAAACAAAAAGGGGGATTTGTGGAATGGCTGGAAAACAACAGGCATATTATGAGCAATCCAGACCGAATGGCCTCACTGTAACCACAGGCTGTAGCTGTTGTGAAGAACACCTGCAAGGCCAAGGGGCTGAGAAACTGCATACGTAGCAAAAAAGATAAGGAAGCTGGACTGTGGAAAAGAAGATGTTTGCCTGGCAGGAGAACGGCTCGTGGATAGGGGCACATGGACAAGTAGCTTTAACTTATGAGCAATCAAGTAGCTACGCTTGTACTTGATGGTAGTCTATAAATTGCTGTGTATCCTTTAATAAAATGGCATTGTGGAGGCCTGGATAGATTGTCACTGCATCTCTCTTAGTCCCCAGGAGTAGGGGAGCAAACACTCCAACAAAATAGCCTGTTGGAGTGTAAAACAATTTAACTTAACATCTAATATAATAAGTAATTTCTTGACAGATGTAGATAGTGTAAGGCATGCTGTTTTGCAGAATAAAACGACTATAGATTTTTGTTACTGGCACAAGGACATGGATGTGAAGAATCTGAGGGTATGTGCTGTGTGAATCTTTCTGATCACTCTCAGTTTATATTTAGGCATTGTTAGTAACTGCAAGACAATGTGTATACTGGGATTATTGACATGCTGTCTTCCTGTTTTAATGATATGTGTCTGTCTTGTGTGGTAAATAGGATGGAGGCCTTAATAGAAAGAAAAGGGGGAATTGTGGGTGTGTATGCCGGGTCGCAAACTGTCTGCGTCACTGACAATGTAAAAGTGTCATCAGCGTTCAGGTTAGAAGATTAACGATGTCTAAATTAATGACGCACTTGTGTTAGAAGACTAACGGTGTCTAGATTAAAGATGGCTAAAAGCAAAATTGTGCATGTTAGGGAAGAAACAGATAAGAAGGGATTCTTTAGACCAACAGAGCAGAAATTAATCTACCGGTTGTGCACACTTAGTAGTGCTTGTTGAAAGTGCTGAGAGGAACGAGTTTCTGAAATGAGCATGTGCCAGAGCAACACACGGATTTGCTGTTACAAGAGTATATAAGGACTTGTTTTTCTAATAGACATTTGAGCTTGAGTGTTAACCATATTGCTGTGTGTCTCGTCTCACAACCTCGTTCTGCAAAAATAAAGGCAAGATTGATGTAGATATCATTTGACACATTTGTCAGTTCAGTATATCTTGATGGTATCTTCAAGGAAATTGAGTGCCTGCTCATCGTAATTATAATTGGAAAAAAGTATACAACATTTTCCCCCTTAGTCCTTTATAGCCTTGGAATTCTGAATGCTGCCTGAAGTTTTGGCATTTCACAACCATGAGGCACAAGGTACTCACCAGTGCAGCATTTCTTCTCTGAGAATCTGGATTTAGGAACTACATAGGTTTTTCTAAACAGTAGCAAATTAAAAACAAAAATTTCCTTGTTGAGTTTCTTGGCATGATCTTGTGTAGAAGCCATTTCAAAGAAACACAAGTGGCTGAATCTGGTCAGCACCTCTGGAGATCACCACGTCCAGCCCCCATGGTCAAGGACAGCAAGTTACTCACAGCCTTGCACATGGAGACAGACTTCATGACCTCTCTGTTCCAGCGTGCTTGACCACACCCATGGTGAAAAACATTTTGCTTATTTCTAGTCTGAACTTTCTATGCTCCACCTTGTGTTTCTTGCTTTTCATCTATTGATGTGCACTTTTGCAAAGTTTGGCTCTGACTTCTCTGTATCCTCCCTTGAGGAAGCTGAAGGTCAAAGAAAGTGTACTCCACAAATGAGCACTGGAAACTGGTAACAACGGATGGGGAGAAGGCTGAGGTA